AGATGTCTTTTCCGGCAGATTCGACCCTGGCATCAGCAGGTTGATCTTCAGAGGCCGCAATCCATTTCGGTCTTTACGGACGGATCGGCCTCTGTACACTCCCAAGCTTATCGACCGTGCTCCTGGGCTTTCTCTGTTTGGTTTCACGTAGGAACCCAGGCTTATCTCTACGGCACAGCCTCTTCCACGGCTGTGCCCGCCAATACCCCATACCATGTTGGGGAACAAGATGACACGGCTGTCACAGCCGAGCTCCTTGCCCTTTTCTGGGCGCTAGCATGGTGCGTCGAGTATGCACCGGCCTTCGGGGTTGAAGTGGCCTTCCACTACGATGCGACCAGTGTTGGGCAAAGCTCTTTCGGAGTCACCAAGGAAGTCAAGTACCCGAGTCCCGCAGACCGGCCGTCCTTGCCACGGGCAGTTCGCATCATGAGACAAATTGCTTCGGAGCGCTGTCGCATCGCTCATCACCATGTCAAAGGACATTCTGGGCATTGCGCCAATGAGTTGTCGGACAGGTTGGCTGATGCGGCAGGCCGCAAACAGGAGAGCTACCATGATCGATGTCTACCAACTTGGCCAGGTGAAATGCTCTCACATAGACTTGCCCCCTGGGCGTGGCTCACCCAGACAGCCCGACACGACCTGCCGACGCTGTTCGCCTTCGAGTCAGAGGCGCGTCGTCTCCAAACACCCAGATATTCCAGACAAGGCACCAGCCCTGGGCCTACGGTATCAGCCAGCTTCCACTGCCTTGATCCAGTATGACTGGGTTTGCATCACTTACAACATCCTCACTCTTAAAGACATGCCTAGTAGCAGTCAGGGCGATTCCGGGGATCCTGGGTCCGCACCAGTTGGCATGAGACTAGTAGGCAGGAGAGCCGTCCTCCAGCGCAGCCTTGCAGAGTTCAACCCTCTTTTCGTGGGGTTACAGGAAACGAGGTTGCAAGATACTGCCACCCTCCCTGATAGTGCCTTCCACATGTTTCACTCAGGGGCCACGCAGGCAGGAGTCGGCGGTTGCGCGTTGTGGGTTTGCAAGGACCGGCGTTATGCCTGGAAAGGTCAACAAGCATACTACCTGAAAACGGAGCATGCTACGGTCAATGGCTTTTCCCATAGACACGTCAATGTCACTTTCGTGGCGCCCTTCCTGCGGCTATTTGTGATGGTTGCGCACTGTCCGTCCAGAGCCAATCATTCCTATCAAGAAGTCTCGTCCTTCTGGGATGAACGGGCCCAAGAACTCCTCGCCCGGCCACAGGGGATGACATTCTTACTCCTGCTTGACGCAAACTCGCGTCTCGGTTCAGTGCAGTCGGACTTGGTTGGGGATCACCAACAAGAGCCTGAGACAGAGGCAGGATCCCTCTTTCACCATTTCCTCAGTCGGGTAGGAGCCATGCTTCCAGCGACCTTTTCAGACTTCCACCGGGGTACAGGGGACACTTGGATTTCGGGCCCCCACTGTGCGCATCGCTTGGACTTCATTGCTGTTCCGGAGGAATGGAGTGCCTTCCATATGGGTTCGCGGGTTCTAGTTGGCTTTGAGAGTCTCCAGTTGCGGGAAGATCATCGCCCGGTTCTTCTCGCCCTGGCCTTTTGCAAAGAGGCCAACCAGGGAGCTTATGCCTGCACCACTAGGAAGGTTATTCGGCCCTCGCCCGCCGCTACCCACCTAGAGGCCAACCACAGGACCCGTTCTTTCCAACAGCTGCCAGTAGCCAACTGGATTGATACTGTGGACTTGCAATACGACACTTTCGTGCAATCATGGTCTCAGGCAGGCTCCGCCCTATGTGGCCCACGTACCAAAACTCCGAGGCTTTGCTTCCTCTCTGATCAAGCCATTGACCTCATTGACAGGCGCAAGGCCTTGCGTGAGTACATTGCTCAGGAAGATAAGGAATACAACAGGCGCCTTGGCCTGATCATTTTTGCGGCTTGGATCCATCTGGTAAACGGCACTTCCTTCACTCCGGATGCGTGTCGGAGGGCGACCACATGGTTGGCCGATATCGACCATAGCATAGCTAGGGCCCTTTGCTTACTTCGATATTTTGCCAAGGCAGCCCGCAGGCAGGTGTTGGCAGACCGAAGACTCTATTTGCAAACACTCACAGAAAGAGTCCAGGAATGCGACGTTAGGGAGTCGCAGACCCTTTACCAAGCCGTTCGGAAGGCTTTCCCTGCGGCTCAATCTGCGCGCAGGAGCAGGTTTAAACCACTGCCAGCAGCTTATGACTTGCAGGGAAACCTTGCAGTCACTCCAGAGGCGAAACAGGAGTGCTGGAGGCAGCACTTCGCGGCGCAAGAGCTCAGCGCTACCACCAGTCCTCAGTAATATCTTAGGAAGTTCTCAGACAGGCCGGCAAACAATCCGGTTGTCTTCGACTTGAGCATCATCCCAACGTTGTCTGATGTTGAACAAATAATCTGCAGCCTTCACCGCCATAAGGCACCAGGCCCAGACGGTATCACGTCCGATTTACTCAGGGTTGCCCCAGTCGAAGCTTCCAGACAACTATTGCCTGTGTACCTTAAGTCCTTTCTCATGGTGCAAGAGCCAGTGGAATTCAGGGGCGGCTGCCTCGTCACACTTGCCAAAAAAGCTGGAGCCGCGCTCCGATGCCAAGACTTCAGGTCTATACTCCTTGCCTCAGTGCCTGCCAAGATCCAGCACAGGCACATACGCAGTCAGCTCCTCCCTTTGCTCGATCGGCATAGTCACACCACTCAAGCCGGGGCCAAGGCTAACATTGGTATTGAGGCTGTTTCTCTGTTGGCGAGGTCTTTCCAGACCCTACACTGCAAGACTGGCCGGGCTTGGTCGATTACATTCTTCGACCTCCAAGCAGCGTTTTACAGAGTTCTCCGTGAGACGCTTGTCTCAACCTCGCGTTCCGATGCGGACCTTCGCAGACTTCTCCATTCTGCAGGCTTGCCAAGTCATGCCCTGATTGAATTGTCAGAGCAGCTTCAACGACTTGTAGCCCTTCCGGCTATGAAGGCGTCGCCGCATCTCATCAGCTTGGTCCAGGATCTTTTCCATGCTACATGGTTCAGGATTGACATGAGCGATTTGCTTACGTGTACAGAGCGCGGAACGCGCCCCGGAGATCCGGCAGCCGACGTGCTCTTCTCTCTCTCGTTCGCTGCCTTCTTGCAAGTCACAGGCCAAACTCTTCGGGAACAGGGGCTCGAAGCCGACCTCCCTCAAGCCTGGGACAGGCCGGCTTGGGCGGAATGCGATCCGACCATAGGCCTAGGCTTCCCTGCCTGGGCAGACGACTTTGCACATCTACAAAATGCTACTTCAGCAAGCGCTTTACTCAATCGAGTGAAAGCGGCCACCCAAGTCATACAGGAACGAGCAACTTCAGTCGGCATGTGTCTTAACTATGCCCCAGACAAAACGGCGGTTCTCCTGCCGTCAGACGTCGACTGGCAGGCAATTGGAGCTTGCAAGACGGAAGAGCCAGCGCAGCTCTACATACCGATAGCGGATGGGCTGTCGGGTGTACAACATTGCCTCCCCATCGTTTCCGCCTATAAACACTTGGGCAACATCCTCACGAGTACAGGCGACCCGCGGCCGGATCTTGCACACAGAGCCTCTCGAGCACTTGGAGTTTCAAAGGCCTTGGGCAGAAAGCTCTTTGGCAATCGCCAAATTCCATTGATAACCCGACGACTGTTGCTGCGGTCACTTGCCATTTCCCGCTTCGTGCACTCCAGCGCGGCTATTCTGCTAACGGCTGCGATTCACCAGCGCACCTGGGATCGTGCTTATGTCAACATTTGGCGTGCACTTTTGCCCAGGACAGCAGCGGATAAACAGCCGCGCATAGCTATGAGGTCCTGAGTACCGCCCAAGCCGCGGCCCCTCCTCTTGCGTTGGCAAAGTCAAGAGCCGGTTTCCTTTCCAAGCTCACGACACACGGGCCGTCAGTTGTGCGTGGATTCCTCTTTGACCATTGGACTTCTCATCCACACAGCTCTTGGCTACGCCAGCTTAAAGACGACGTAGACATTGTTACGCTCTACTGTCCAGCCGTCAAGGACTTCCTGTCATGCAGCGACCCGGTTCTGGATCTTTTGGAAGCGTATCAGTCAGACCCACGTTGGTGGCCTAGACAAGTTGCGGCAGCGGCCAGGGCTTTCCAGCGGGAGCTCTCCCAATGGCTGGTTGCTAAGAAGACGGCTCAGCCCGCATCCGTCTCCGGATCCGCCGAGCCGGCTCCCCCTCCGGCGACAACGACGGACTTGCCCTATAAGTGCGACCAATGCTCAGCCTCGTTCAGGCTCCGGAAGCACCTGGGTGTGCATCAAGCGCGGGCACATGCTCTTCTTTCGCCTTCCCGGCACTTTGCCTTTGACAATTACTGCCATGCTTGCATGAAGTGGTACGGGTCCGTTCGACAAGTGCAGCAACACTTGAAATACTCGGGCAAATGCCTGCTTCGCGTGAGCCAGGTGCTTCCTCCGTTGTCACACGAGCAAATCCGGGCAGTCGAGTTGCCCGATGTTAAACGTGCCAAACAGCTAAAAGTAGGACAGTGGCAGTCCTTTCAGGGTCCACAGCCACATTCAATCATGGTGGGTCCTCCTTTGCCTACAGCCGAAGAACGGCTGCAGGGCTTAGACTTCTTTTCCGAGGACATTCCTCTGAGCCTACTACAGAGGCCGTACCGACCTTCAGCCCCCACCCGCACCTGGGTTGAGGACCACGTGCTACACAAATCACGGGAAGGTCCAAGGTCGACCTCCAAGCGCTTTTGGCACGCTAAGCCTGCCGTTTCACATGATGCACGTCTTTGAATTCACCATTTTTGGGACGCGCCGCGCAAGCGGCACTACAGTCCGAATCCAATCCAATCCAATCCGGCTCCTTATTCTAATTGTAGTGTAGTGGACCCCAAAACCCTATTCTAACGATTAAGGGCCTTATATTAGCCCAGTGTAGGGGTTTGGGGTTCAGAAGGGAGCCGGCCGAGGCCACTGATCCGTGATCTGTGCAACAGCACCTCGCAGCTGAGGTTGGCATCGTAGGTTCCTGGAGGGTCGGGAGATTTAGTAAGTAAACAGTAAGTAGACTTGTAAGTACCCTAAAGGGGACCGTAATTGGGTTTATAATACTTATAAGTTTATAAAGCAACCATTTAGTAAGTCCCCCGACCCTCCAAGCTCCTAGCATTTCGAGTTTTATGTGTTGTGTCTTGTGGTCACGAAGGGCTTAGGGGCTTGGAACTTCGAGTTTAAAGTTTCGGGTGTCAAGATGCTTTGCCCTAAACCCTGAACCCTAAACCCTAAACCCCTAAACCCTAAACCCTAAACCGTGGTATTGTTTTTGGTGTACGCCTTAAGAAGGCTGGACAGACCCGAAATGGGGGCCTCTCCGGGCCTTAATGTACAAACAACTTCGGTATGCTGGTGCTGCCAGACTTAGGGAGGACGGCGTTACGTTGAAGGTTTAGGCATCGCATTTTCGACCCTGGCAGCATTGCAGTGCAGGGTTTAGGGTTTACGAAATCGCAACGTTCGACCACTAAGCCAACCCGAAGGCCGTGAGTGCCAGAACTGAACAACCTTGGTTAACAGTGAGTTCCGCGCAACCATCAAGACATGGGATTGCTTGGCATATGCCTTAGAGATCAAACATGATTTGCTCGATCATCGCTACTTAAGCTACAGGCGTATCTGAATTAGTGAACTGTAATTTTTGCACAGTCACGTTGACGTATTATCAAAGTTAATCAAGCAACATAGCATTTAAATGATAGAACTTATCGTAATATTCTACAAGATCTGATAGATTCGATTGGATATTTTCTGAATACTAATGTAGAAAGACTTCACTTCACAAAACTATAAAATAGAGAAGAGGAGGCATCTATAATATTACGATAAAAATATGTAGGAAGACAAGATCTGTTCACAACATTTGTATTATGTATAGACTGTATAGAATACAACAAAGGAACATGCATTCCTTGGTATATAGAGGGAGATCTGGAATGGGTTGGATATAGTGTTGGTATGAATGTTTATTGATGGTATAATGAGGACGAGTTCGATGAGGCGAGGTCTGAACTTTCTCAATATACAGAGAATATTGAATATTGAGGAAAGTGTAAAAAATGTGATGAATTAGATTTACTTGTTGAGAAAAATAACTATGGTTCGAGAAATTTTATCCTTGAGGTTAGGAAAGGTAATTTCTATTTGTTCTTCTTATGGTTGTGTGGGTGCAATCGGGTGTTTAGATGTTATATTATGTTTCTGCGATATTCCAAATATAAGAATTCGAAAAGAAAATTCGATTTCTATTGGCAAATATAGGAATTCGAAAATATATTGATATTATTGATATTTTTCTTATAAAGAAATAAAAATGAAAAATAGAACTATAATTTGAAATTTTCATAGATATTTAGAAATGATAATTATTCAAAGAATAATATTAATATATTATATTCGTCATTATTGTATTCATAATATATTGATATTATTATATGATATTATTATATATATATATACTATTATATTAGTTGATAATAAATAAGGATAATAATGATAATTTCTATTAAGAAAATATATTATTTATTCTATTAATTCTATATATATTTCAATTCTATATATATAATTCAAATTCTATATATTTTTCTTCTTATATATATATATATTTCGTCAATTATTTATTATTATAAAATATGATAGTTGTCGATATTTAGAATTAAAGGTTCTGATCTTAATTATGAGCTCGTACAGCACTTATTAAGGATTTATAATATTTTAATAGGAGCGATGCTCAGAGTTGAAGATTCTGAGTTTAGTTGATGGAGCGTGAAGCGCTTATTAATTAGAAAAATTATATATATATATTTAATAATTAAATTTCAGATTTATTAGTATTATGATTATTTTCTCTCAATATTAAATCGAATTAAATTTTTTTATTACTTAAGAAGATTATATATAATAAAAGAATTTCAAAATTTTTGGCAGGCATAATATATATATATATAAAAGGAACTTCAAGATTTTTGGCAGGTATATTTATAAACAAACATTTATAGGATCTTTGGGATATTCATGAAAAAAAATTTCTAGAATTTTAATTCGCGACCTCTATAGAGGTGCTGTCTGAATAAAGGTATCTCTGAATATATCTTTCTATTTATATTTCTATATAGGTATCTGTCTCTCTATATATGTCTTAGCACATCTGATTATATCTTTATATATCTATCTATATTTTTCTCTATATATCTCTCTGGGAATCTGCCTGGATATCTATTTATATATCTATTTTTAGAGATATCTATATATCTATCTATAAATCTATCTAGATATATATTTATACTTATATATTTGAATAATCATTTATTTATTTATTTATATATCTATTTATTTATTCGATCTTTATATTTATTATCTTTATAAATCTTTATATCTATTATTTTCATAAATAAATGAGAGATTGATTACTCGATTTTTTAATTCCCTTATCGATTGTCGACTGGAGAATTGGACTTGGGGATCCTATTATTTATTTAATTAGAAAATTGAAGGTCTAACTAAAATAGGGGCGACTTAATGGATTGGCTCGAGACTTATTTAAATCGATATTTTTCGAATAGAATTTATTTTTCTATATGCTTATCTAATCATTTATTTATCTATCTATTTAATTTTGGAATGATATTTATTTCGGAGATAATATATTCGATATTTAGAATCGAAGATTCGGAATTTTAGAAGAATTTCGTCTCAGCTTCGAAAAATATTTCATAATCTATTAGAATATGAAATATAAGAAATATATTTTTTTCTATAAGAAATCGAACAATATAATAATCATCATATAACTAATCAAAGATAAATATATAATCCCTCTTTAAAGAATGATATTTCAAATCCTAATTCTATTTTTAGTATATTATGGAGGTATATTTTTTATAGTCAGAAATATGAATATTTTCTGAATTCAAAATCGTACCTTCAAAATCATCAGCCTTGCACGTGATATCCCACGTACTGCCCTTGCAAGTTTGCCAGGGTTCTTTGAGACCGCTTGGGTTTGGCTCGAGGGCCCAAATCATTCTCGATAGTGGGACATGAGAGGGGCTTGGCAGGGTCTGGGGGGACCGAGCTCTTCGTTATAATAGATTTCTTTCTCAGATTCGCTGGGACCAATCGGGATCGGCGGGATCTGATGGGACCCTATAGGTACCAACCCTTGCCTATATAGGACCCTATATCTAATTAAATTTTTTAATACTAAATATCATAACGAGAAGATCATAAATAATATTTTTTATTTCGCTTTAATATTATAATCTAGATTAGCGTCCGATCAATATAAATAATTATTCAGGAGAATCGAATATCAATTAATATCGATACTAGGAACGTTCTTATTAAGATTTTCAATATTATTTATTGGTCTTAATTCTATATATAAAGCTAGCTTCATGATAAATTACTTATTGAACATATTTTAGCCAAATATTCATGCCTAGAAATAAATTTAGTCGTAAGGGTAAGAAAATAGATAATCTCCTAAATCAAATAATTGAAATCGAAATCAAGGCTCTCCAAATATAAATTTTATAGTTCTAAAATAACATCCATATCACGATCTTTTATTAATGAATTTATTATGACTAATATTAAGAAAGATGCCTAATAGACAATCGAAGCAATAAAATTAGAAATCATATATATATATAATTTCCTATGATATAACCTTATATATTAAAGAATATATTTTCTTTCAGATAGAAATATAGATTCTAAATCGAATTCGACGAGAATTAACAACTCCTATTCTTACTC